ATATCCAGTTCTAACTGTTGCTTCCTGTCCCACATACAGATTTCTCAGGAGATAGATAAGGTGGTCAGGCACTCCTATTTCTTTAAGAACTTGCCATAGTTTGCTGTGGTCCACACAGTCAAAGGCTTTTGCATAGTCAATGAAGCAAAATGAACAAGCTAGCTATCTCCTGAGAAATCTATATATGGGACAGGAAGCAACAGTTAGAACTGGATATTTGAACTGATTGGGTCAAAACTGGGAAAGGATTATGACAAGGGTCCATGGGGTCATGAAGAGTTGGACACGACTTAAAACTAAACAACAACAAATTCTTTCTCCTGGTAGCTTTTCATTGGTGAAAATATGCTACATATTAATGTTTTTTCCAGGTACTCTTGTGATATTTTTGCTGATGTGTTAACCTTATAAATTACAGGCGTACCTTGGTTTACTAATTTAATGCATTCTCCGGGACGTTATGTAATGCGAAAAGTTTGTAAACCGAAACACAGTTTGCCATAGGAACGGGGGTGGCGCTGTAAACCTCCAGGCACAATACATCTGGGAGAAACTTGCTTTGTACTGTGAAAAAAAAATCATAAACCAAGGCATTATTTTCAATGGATTTCAGTTTGTAAACCGAAAATTATGTTAACCAAGATGTTCATAAACCGAGGTACTACTGTAATTGTGAAACTCTCTAGCATTTACTGCTGTTGCCATTGCTAACATTCAGTGTTAGCTCTTTTCCTGCTTCCAAATCACAAACATCCCACAAGTGAAGAAACTAGCTTCGTGCTCTGGTTATTGGTTATTCTTGGTTATTCTATCAAAAAGTGAATAAGCTATAAAAACCTAGGAAGACTTGAAGCAACCTGCCCCATCGTTCTCCTTTGGAATTACTGTAACTGCTTTGGCCAGATTCAGGATAAGATCCAACTGAGGTGGTGCTTGTGCAAAGCAGACTGAATCAAAACCTGGATTAGGAAGGACTCTGAGACAAAACATGTCTCCAGAAACTGACACATTTCTCACTAAATTCTCCATGTAAGGAAACTGGAGGAGAGGGGTGATGGGAGAAGAGAAAATGCTTTGGAGTGAGATGTTGGAATGATATCTTACAGGACTTTGCTAGCCTTATTTATTTATTAATTCTATTTTATTTCAAATATTTCTATCTTGCCTTTCTCTCAAAAGAACCCAAGTTGACTGTGTTTCTCACTAGCCTTACTTAGAAATAGGAGAGTTAAATGTGCTTCAGTTCAGTCTGTGGGAGCCAGGGGGCTGTTTCTAGCTTGGAAAATGCTGGCTGATCAAGTCTTCTGCTGCCGATTGTATTTTCTAGAGCCATCATCCACTCCTGTCCTATTATATTTTCCATGACTTCCCATTTTCCAATTTATGATAGATACTTTTTCTTAAAGGAAATTAAAAGCCACATTTATCATAACCCCCTCCCCACACAGATTCTTCTGAGACAGGGAAGAGAATCCTGTACATAGCGCAATTTTAAACACTCCTTTCCCACACCCAAAAATATTGCACACAACTCTTTGAAATGTTGCAGGGTTTTTTTGCATATGTAAATTTCACAACAATTGTGTGCAAAAAAGGGGGAAGAATTCTAAAGGATAAGTGGCTTTTTTTAAAAAAATCCAGACTTTAGATAAATTATGCAGTTGCACAAAACTTGTGCATCTCTTCTTCTGAAATTGGGCAACTGAGTCCTTCAGAAGGAGCAACTTCCCTTACAAATGTCATCCATTTCTGGCAAGAAATTAATCAGTGATTCTTCTTTTGAAAAAAACAAAGCAAATTTTAAAAGTGTGTATTGCAGAAGGTGCTACATGTGTTTGCCTTGTTTGCTTAAGCTACTTTCATCCAGCTCTTATAAACTAGGGGAAGCTTATAGGTGATTGTTGTTTCCCCATGATTGTTCAGTGGAACGTGTGACCATTGGTGTTTGTTTGTTTGTTTGTTTGTTTGTTTGTTTGTTTGTTTGTTTGTTTGTTTGTTTGTTTGTTTGTTTGTTTGTTTGTTTGACTTATATGCCACCCATCTATACTTGGCCTACTCTGGGCGGCTCACAACAATCAAAGTAAAAACAATTGACATAAAACAATTTTACCACAATTTACAGCAATTAATAATCATTCGAGATGGAGAATCAGAAGAAATTAAGTGGGGCCCAGGGGGAAGGCCTGTCTGAATAGCCAGGTCTTAAGTTGGCTTTTGAAAAAGCCCAGCAAAGGGGCCAAACAAATCTCGGAAAGGAAATTGTTCCAAAAACAGGGAGTCACTGCCAAGAAGGCCCGGTTTCTTATTTTTTCTTTCCGGACCTCCCTCAGCGTTAGGCTCCTCAGTTGCCCCTCCTGACTAGAACGAGTGATACAAGTTTTTATATTTGCATGTACTGTATAGCAACTCAAGTTCAGTCTCCGACATCTCTAAGTACGGCTAGAAAAAAAATATTCTGTGGGAAGCGGTGGATTGTTGCTCTTGTTCAGGGTTGAAAGTGCTGGGCTAAATGGACCATTGATGTGACAGCTTCCAAAGTATTATAAAGAAGCCGAGGTTTCCCAAGATTTTCTTCCCCACTGAGATGCCTGCCAGTTATGAGACTACAACTCCCATCATCCTGGGCCTGCCGGCAATCGGAGTTGAAGTCCAACACATCTTGAG